TTCCCTGCCAGAGATTTTAGAAAGTTCTCAGTTTGTACCTAGTGACATCTCACATATCTATTTTTGAACGGTTAATTTACCTAGTGAACCAAGGTAAAAGGTGAAGGTTTCCCTTGCTTGAAAGCTAGTCAAATCCGACTCTATGGGGTGGTGTTCATCTCCGTTTCTAAGCCGAAGAGCCAGCGCTGTTCAAAGACATTTCCATGGTCATGTGGTCAGCATGACTAAACACTGAGGTGCACGGAACGCTTTACCTTCCCACCAAAGTGGTACCTATTTATCTACTTGCAATTTCTTGCTTTCGAACTGCTAGGTTGGCAGGAACTGGAGCCAGAGACGGGAGCTCACTCCATCACGCAGCACTCGGGTCACGAACTGCCAAACTACAGACCTTCTGATCTGCAGCTCAGCATCTTAACCTCTGAGCCACCGTGGCTCAGTGAACCAAACTCTTGTCTAAAAAAAATAATTGGAGGCTTGAACTTGGTTTCTTCTAGAGATACTTGTGTAGGGAGTTGGCAAAGTGGAAGGCATAACAACAACCTTGAACTACTTATCTGTTTTCTCATGATCTTACCATTGATGGGATTTGAGAGCATCTTTTGTGGCATTTTATGGTTTTGCATTTTTCTGTACATTCTCTTTATGAGCCTTTAACATAAATTGAGTCTTGTAACCTAGTGCATCAATTTTTAAACCATCAAAAGCATATTTTATTGGGTGTTGTAAATAAGAAGCGGGAGACTGACCAGTTATGAAGGTGCACAGAGAGATTATATAGTTATAAAGGTGAATATATACAGAGATATTTACAAGCTATTGTACAGCATGTCATGCCTTAGTCTATGAGAACTAAGTCCCCACCCAGTTTACTAAGCTGATAGCTATTATGCTAAACCGCAGCCAATCTCTAACAAGGTAATGTAATCACTAGCTCTAACAAGCCCTGGAAGAGCAACACCTGCTAGAAAACACCTGGCTGTAATTACATGATTACTAGCATGACAGCTAGGTCTGACAAACAGATCAAACTGATCTATAGTAACTGCTTGCTACCTCTATCACTCTGACATATATCTCAATAATTTTATCAAAAGCTTTTTAAAAGGGTGATTAAAATCAAATCAAAAGAAGTACTTCTTCATGCAGCGCAATTCACTGCTACAAAAGTAATTCCACCATTATCTACAGCCAAGGCTACAAATGCAGGAGAATGAAATAGTAGGATTCTGCAGTGGCAAAACACTATACTGTTCCGGACTGCTCATTGTTAATGATCCCTTATGTAAATACTTCCTCCAAATACAACATTTGCACATGAGAGAGAAAGCAGAATAACATGTCACAAAGGTCTGCTTATCTTCAGTCCCTTCAAAATCTTTTTTTTTTAAAATCCAGTTGTCCTCTTATAGGAAATTATTTCACTGAGTTCTGTCACCTGTAGACCGAAGTACATTCCATTTAATTTCAGCCCTCCTCCTCCTCATTACCACCTTATTCACACGGACCAGACCTAAAATGGTTTTAGAGAATAAACAAATGCATGGAAGACAGACATATTGGTGGTTGTTAACCATGATGCCTAAATAGAACCTCTTATGTCAGAGACAATGTACCAGTTAATGAGGGACGATGACTGGGGCCTGTGCACTTTGGCTTCTATTATCTAGTTAATAGACGTTTTGGGAGCAAATGGTAGCGCATTGTGGAAGATAGGTTGCTGGAAAACATGAATGTATCTGATGTATCAAGGCTCTCTACGTTCTTATAAAGTATAAATTGAAAAGCACTTTGAAAAAAATGATTCAGTGAGGAACTCACTGAAAAGACTAACATCTTTTATTCGGAATTTAAATTTTTATTAAGTTGTATATTGAATTTTAATATTTTGTATATTTTATGGCATTATGCCCCTTTGTACATCGCCCAGACCCTGGCGTAAGCTGGGATAGGGCGATTAATAAATCGAATTAACAACAACAACAACAGAGGCTTACCAGTTTTTTGGGTCCTGTACTGTGGCTAGCAGGAGAAAAATAATGTAAAAAAAAATTCAACACTTCCAGGTAGGGTTGCCAGGTCCCCTTGTTGCTCCAGTGGGGGAATTTGGGGGGTGTTCCACGACACCCCCAATGTGATGACATCACCTGGAAGTGATGTCATCACACTGGGGACATTGCACGGGGATGCTCTGGTTTGAGGGCAAAACTCTATGGTAAAACTGGCTTAAAACCATAGAGATTTGCCCTCAAACCAGTGTCTTTGCACAACACCCCCAGTGTGATGATGTCAGTTCCAGGTGATGTCATCATGTCAGGGAAGTCACACAGTGATGTGGCTGTTTGGGGGTGGGGTTTCCCATTGCCTGGATTGCTTTGGAGTGAGTTCTTCCAGGTCAGGACCTATATGTAGCCTACTGGGAAAAACTCTTACAAAAGTGGAGATCCATAGTCTTTTTTTTTTTAAGTACCCTTGGGTACACTTTTATTAATTTTTCTTTTATAATCTACAACAAACAAATCTACACACTACAAACAGACACTCTACTACACATAACATGTATACCAAGAGTACAGTTACATTATATGCTTATATCCAATTATTTAATTAATAGAAACGCTCTATCACTTTCCATTCTTCTGTCTTCTGTGTTCTCAAGTCCATTGTGCCATAATTGCCTAATCTTCTATTGTACTTACATTATACCAATCATAAAACTTTTTCCATGTTTTTTTAAATGTCCACTCTTTGCTTAATCTCATTTCTAAAGTCAGTTTATCATTTTCTGCTGTTTCAAAAAGTTTATTCACAAACTCCTGTTTCGTTGGTATCACCATAGTTTTCCAATATTTGGCATATAACATTCTTGCAGCTGTCGTCATATAAACAGTCAAATACCTATTCTCTTTTTCATAGTCATTTGGAAATATATTCAACAGCAAGACCTCTGGAGTAAATGGAATCTTTGCTCTTAGTATCTTCTCCATCAAACTATGGACCCATTTCCAAAACTTTTTTGTAACATCGCATAGCCACCACATATGATAAAATGTGCCCCTTTTACTCTTACATTTCCAGCATTTATCAGAACAGTTAGTATTTTGCTTAGCCAATCTATCAGGTGTAATATACCATCTATAAAACATCTTATACATATTCTCTTTATATGTTATAGCATTAGTCATTTTAAAGAAAAAAGGCAGATTCATGTGCATTTGGCAGCGTAAAGGCCTCTAATGGTGTTATTAGTCTCGATCTTCTAATATAAAAATTTTTATGGATTCCATCCCAAACTTTAAGTAAAGAGGCTCTCAACCAATGCTGTTTAAAGTACTTATGGGAATTTGCTTTCTCATACCATAAAAGGGCATTCCATCCAAGTAACAAATCATGTCCTTCGATTTGCAACAATCTTGTATCTTCGAGAGTGACCCACTCTCTAATCCAAACTAGAGCCGCCGCTCTATAATATAAAAGCCAATTTGGGACTCCAAATCCACCTCGCCCTTTCACGTCCTGCAACATTTTTAACCTTATTCTTGCCTTCTTTCCTTGCCAGATGAACTTAGTTGTCAATTTGTCCAATTCTCTGAATAACGCTTGGTTCTGCAATATGGGTATAGTTTGAAATAAAAACATCCATCTTGGTAATATATTCATTTTTATTGCTGCCATCCTACCCATCAAGGACAGTTGTAAATTTTTCCACTTCTCCAAGTCCTGTTTAGTATTTTTTAACAACACTTTATAGTTTTCTTCGTATAAATCACTGCATTTATTTGTAACTGTAATTCCTAGGTATCTTGTCTTCTTCACTATCTGGCATCTTGTTACTCCTTGAAGCTCTTTTTTCTGTTTCTCCTCCATGTTTTTTTACTATGATTTTAGTTTTCTCCGGATTTATTTTGAGCCCTGCCACTTCTCCGTATTCTTTAATGTTCTCCATCAATACCTCCGCCGCTTTCACTGGATTCTCTAATATATATGCCACATCATCTGCAAATGCCAACAGTTTATATTGCTCTTTCTTAACTCGCAGTCCTGTTATTTTATTTTATTTTCTAATAGCTTCATTCAACACTTCCAACACCATGATAAATAATAGCGGAGATAGTGGACAGCCTTGCCTTTTTCCTTTCTCAATCATTAAGCTTTCTGATAATTCGCCATTAACTGCAACTCTTGCTTTTTGCTCTTTGTAAATTGCCTGAATCATAGTAATAAAGCTTTCTCCTGCTTCCAACATCCGCAATGTCTCTATCATAAATGTCCAATTGACATTATCAAAGGCTTTTTCCGCATCCAAAAAGATTATTGCCATTTGTTTTTCACAATGTAATTCATAATATTCTAATACGTTCATCAATATTCTTAAATTATTTCTCATCTGCCTTTTAGGTAAAAAGCCTGATTGATCTTTATTTATTATTTCCACTAATACTTTTTTCAGTCTTTGTGCCAAAATTGATGCATATATTTTATAATCCACATTTAACAGTGATATTGGCCTATAATTTTTCATTTCTTTTTCATCGGTATTTTGTTTATGTATTAATGATATTATAGCTTCTTTCCATGTTTCTGGAATAATTCCTTGCTCTTTTGCCAAATTACATATGTCCTTAAAAATTAAAGCTAACTGTTCTTCAAAGATCCTGTAAAATTCTATTGGCAGACCATCCGGTCCTGGGGCTTTCCCTCTATTCTGTCTTTTAATCGCCTCTACTACTTCCATCATCGAGATACGTTGATTTAATTCTTTTCTTTGTTCTTCTGTAAATCTTTGTAACTTATGCTTCTGTAAATAGCTTTGTATTTTCTCTATATCCACTATGGTCTTGCCATAAAGAGCTCTATAGTATTCTTCCATAGCTCTTTTAATTTCTTCATTTGTACAAATCTCCATAGTCTTAATGTTTTATTGTGACTGTGAAATTCTGATTCATGAAAAGCATCTGAACTGATAAATTATCCCCTGTTTTCTTTATGTGCATCCACAGGGATGTCTCCCAGACTAGTATTGTTACCCTGCCAGAAAGAGGACTTGAAAAGCTTAAAGAACTGATGGCACAAAATACATGGACACTGAAGAAGTTCCCCCCTATAAAAACATTTCCTCATCTAATTCGAGCTAAACTATCATACCCAAGCCACTGTTGTGGGGTCAGGAACTGGAAAAAAGCCAAAGGGTAAGTCCTAATTTAGATTTCATCCCAAATAATTATTTGTTCTAATACAATCAAGTGATTTATAATACAATCTTAAACATAATCACACCCTTTTAAATCCAAGTCAGTGGATTTAGAAAGGTATAACTCTGTTTAGGCTTAAATTTACAGTGGGTGAAAGGGTTTAATTTTTTTTTAAAGTATTTCCAGTTAAATTGGTAATGTCATATTATCGTTTAAAATGATCTGGAGGTGTCATTCAGAATCAGTACCACCATTCTTCAAACTTCCACCTAAATCCCTAGTTAACTGAAGGGCCATGACTCGATCTTAGAACATATAATTTTGCAGGCAGAAAATCCTAGATTGAATCCCTGGTCATCCCTAGTGAAATAATCTCAGATAGTAGGCACTGGGAAGGACCTCTCTCTGCCTGACGTACTGGAGAGGTGCTAGCAGTTGAAGTAGACAACCCTGAACTATATGACAATGGCTTCATTTCCAAGATGCACTCTGTATCCTACTGGTAGAACACAGAGTCAGGATACTGGATGATTTTGACAGGCTGCAAAACTGGGGCTAAAACAAATAAAATGAATTTCAGTGGGGATGAATGTAAAGTTCTGCATTTAGGTAGGGAAAATCAAATGCATAATTATAGGTTAGGGGAGACTTGTCAGTAGTATGTGCGAAAAGGATCTAGGGGTCTTAGTAGACCATACACCGAACATGAGTCAGCAGTGTGATGCGATTTTGGGTTGTATCAACAGAAGTATAGTGTCTGATCATGTGAAGTGATGGTACCACTTTGCTCTGCTCTGGTTAGACCTCACCTAGAGTATTGCGTTCAGTTTTGGGCACCACAATTTAAGAAGGATATAGACAAGCTAGAACGTGTCTAGAGGAAGGCAACAAAGATGGTGATGAATCTGGACACCAAGTCCTTTAAGGAAAGGTTGAAGGAGTTGGGTATGTTTAGCCTGGAGAGGAGACGACTGAGAGGTGATATGATAACCATCTCCAAATACTTGGAGGGCTGTCATATAGAGGATGGTACAGAGTTGTTTTCTATTGCCCCAGAAGGTCGGACCAGAACCAACGAGTTGAAATTAAATCAGAAGAGTTTTCGGCTAAACATTAGGAAGAACTTCCTGACAGTTAGAGCGATTCCTCAGTGGAACAGGCTTCCTCAGGAGGTCGTGGGCTCTCCTTCTTTTGAGGTTTTCAAACAGAGGCTAGATGGCCATCTGACAGCAATGCTGATTCTGTGGACTTAGGCAGATCATGAGAAGGAGGGCAGGAAGTGCTTATTTCTTGTGGCCCTTTCTTACACGCCCAAGGAAATGCTGATTGCCACTTTGGGGTCAGGAAGTAATTTTTCTCCAGGGTGGTTTGGCCAGGGATCTTGCAGGGTTGTTGTTTTTTTGTCATCTTCTGGGTGTGGAACAGCAGTCACTGCGGGAGGTATTTGTGAATTTCCTGCCTTGTCTAGGGATTTGGACTAGATGTCCCTAGAGGGCCCTTCCAACTCTATGATTCTATGGTAATTTCTATGTACTTTCAGCATTCTCGAGCTCCTGTTGTGCAACCAAACTAACAATTACAACTTGCGCAAGAGAAGATCTGCCAGTACCTCCAGGGTCCCCTTTTATCAAGATTACGCAGAAGATGATTCAGATCATACTGATACCGCATATGATGAAACTACCAGCTTCAGAGATTTTCATGGAAATCCTCATTATTACGTCTTTTTTGAAGAGCAAGATGATAGAGAGATTGGGTTTGGCCAAGAGCTCAAGAATCTTCAAGAGGAGAACACCCCAGGATTTGACAACCATTATGATTACTTTATCTGTGGGGGAAGTGATGATATTGTGTGCACCCCAGAACCTGATGAGTTCAATCCCTGTGAAGACATAATGGGATACGGATTTCTAAGGATTGTGGTATGGTTTGTGAACTTATTAGCTATTCTGGGCAATGTTTTTGTTCTCTTTATTCTTCTCACCAGCCATTACAAGTTGACCGTTCCTCGCTTCCTGATGTGTAACCTGGCTTTTGCTGATTTCTGTATGGGATTATACCTTCTCCTGATTGCTTCAGTGGATCTTTATACTAAGTCGGAGTACTACAACCATGCCATTGATTGGCAAACTGGGTCAGGTTGTAACACTGCTGGCTTTTTCACTGTCTTTGCTAGTGAATTGTCCGTCTTCACCTTGACCGCAATCACCCTGGAGCGCTGGTATGCCATCACCTTTGCCATGCGGTTGGACAAGAAGATTCGCCTCTGGCATGCTTCTGTTACCATGTTGGGTGGTTGGCTGATATGTTTCCTTCTTGCCGTTCTGCCATTGCTTGGAGTCAGCAGTTATGGAAAAGTCAGTATCTGTCTTCCTATGGACACTGAAACACCTTTAGATCAAGCCTACATTATAATTGTTTTATTGCTGAACATCATCGCTTTCATCATAATTTGTGCCTGTTATATAAAAATCTATATCACTGTGAGGAATCCACAGTACAAGTCAGGGGACAAAGATACTATTATTGCCAAAAGGATGGCAGTGTTAATTTTTACAGACTTCTTATGCATGGCCCCAATCTCATTCTATGCATTGTCTGCTATAATGAACAAGCCCCTAATAACTGTTAGCAACTCAAAAATCCTGCTGGTTCTCTTCTATCCACTCAACTCCTGTGCTAACCCATTCCTTTATGCTATCTTTACCAAAGCGTTCCGGAGAGATGTTTTCATCTTGCTCAGCAAGTTTGGGTTATGTGAGCATCAGGCTCAAGTCTACCGGGGCCAGACGGTCTCCCCCAAGAACAGCAGTGGCTCTTATAACCAGAAGGGCGGCAGCCGAGGGATGGGCCAGAATCTCATCAACCTTCAAGACTGTCATCATGGCTCGTCTGAAGACTACCAACCAACGGCGGCACCGCATGCTCAAACTCCGAAAGACAATAAACTCACTGTATTGTAGCATGTGAAGAGTAAACAACAGGAGATCAATAAGACTTGTTTTGGTTAGAAATCAAAGGAGGTTTCTGGGACAGAGACGTGAGATTCTCATAGCCTCAGTGGCTTTTGAGAAATTTCAGTGCGATTACGCTCTCATGAATCATGTGCGAGGATCTGATCTTGCACACCGGTCAGTGCCACTCACTGTCATGGAAGTGTATGGGACATACTTGTGTGTGTGCGCACACCCATGGAAGCATGCGACTCTGCCACTGCTCCATTCAGGTGGAGGAACTAGACCAGGTATTCCACTTTCCTTTTGCTCATCTCACAGGATAACAAGTTTCTGGCTGACATGAAGCAGTTAATGCATAGGAAAGGACATCTGCCTGTTTTTTAAGTAATGTAGTATTTTGAAAGGTATGATTAAATTTATTTTTGTATATATTCCAAATGGGATTGCTCCCAACAGTGAATGGGTATTGGTGGTGAATAATACAGTGGTTAGAGGTTGCCTGTTTACTTATGGGGGGTGGAGCGATAATTTAACGCTTGATTAAAATCACTAGGAAGAATAAAAATAAATAATGCTAACTACATGTTTTTTATTCATAAAGTCCTTAATATTGTATTAAGCACAATATGTGAATGCCCCCACCACCACCAAGGAACAAACAAATGTCCCAAATTCTGGCAGACACTAAAATAGAAATCACATTTTTGTCTCAGCTCAGGAAGGATGGCTCCAGAGCAAACTAATTTATGCAGTAGCCAAATCGTTCGCTCACAACTTTAATGCCAGTAGCTCACAAAGTAGAATTTTTGCTCACAAGACTCCACAGCTTAGAGGGAACATTGAACACTACACCAAACTGGTCCTGTGCCTTATCATTGAATATACATGCATCAGCCTAATGGATGTGCACTTCATGCTTCCGAATGAAGTGAGCTCTAGTTGATGCAAAATTATGCTGGAATAAATATTTTTAGGCTCTAAAGTGCCATTGGACTCCTGATGGTTTTGTTTTGTTTTGTTTTACAATTGAAAAATACCTTTACTAAGCCGTCTGAATAACTGTGCAACAACTGCTGTTGAGAGGTCTTTCTAGCAGACCAATATGATTGCCTGAAATTCTCTTTACCTTGGCTTGGACCTGAAGTCCTATGACTGCTTGCAAAGTGTCCCTTTCCATTGCAGAGGCAGACGGTGCTCCTCCGAGCCTTAACTTCTGCTCCTGTCTTTCAGTGAGCCAAAAAGTGCCTAGAGGAACACAGTCCACAGCAGAGGACCATCTGTGCAATGGCCAAAGAGGGTGCAAGTGGGAAGGTGACTTAGATCCAAGCTTATACCTGCAATGTAGGCATTGGGATCCATTCTGATCACCACCAGCTAAAGGCTTCCAGAAAGATCTGCTTATGGAAGCAGTCATGTGACCAGTGTAATGTGAGGGGGGGAAACCTCACGTGAATAGAAGAACCCTTCTGTGTACCAAAATGTTGCAAGGTGTGATGATGACAATGTGATCACGGATGAATGGGTTAGTCCCATTGCTTATGAGAAGGCGTGAACAGTTCTTTATGGTAGATCATTGGAATCCAATCACAGTCCATCCAACATATATGACAAGTAGAACCCAACCAAGAGTTGCCAGATCCAGGTTGGGAAACTCCTGGAGATTTGGGGATGGAGCCTCGGGAGGACAGGGACCTCAGTTGGGTACAGTGCAATAGGGTTCGCTCTCCAAATCATCCATTCTCTCCAGGGGCTGTAATTTGGAGATGAGCTGTAATTCTGGGGGATCCCCAGGTCCCACCTGGAGGCTGGCATCCCTAGGCTAAATATAGCTTTTTGGTGTGCCCATTCTTGTTGCACACACATTGTGCTTGATTACAGCTGGATCAAGGCCTATTTTAATTGTGATGCTTACTTTTTCCTGCACAAAAGTAAGTCAGTGACAGTTGCCTTACTCTGTATGTAATGTTTTGTATTTCTGCCTTTGTGGGTTTAATTCATTCAATAGTGTATACAACATAACAGAGAGAGAAAACCCTTTGTTTCTGTAGACTTGGCTGTAAATGTATGCGTTTAGGAGTCCTGTTTTCTAATTTGCTTCTGGCTTTGTAATTACTGTGTTTAGGTACTTCTCAGATGTTACCAGTAGCTCCACATTGGTTAGTGCAGGAGCTTTAATGTAATGTAAGCACTTTTGGTATAAAGAGCTCTCTTTCTCCTACTTGACTTCTTTTGACATGAGATATTCCAGCACTGAGAGGGCAGCACATCAAGTGCTGTACACGGCTGAAGAGAGCTAAGGTTGTTTTGTTGCTGTTCGGAAACAATCACAGATGAGAATGAATTGGTTTAAGAATGTATCAAGCAAACTCTTGCACCAGAACAGGGATTCATCTAGTTCAGCATCCTGTTTCCTGTAGTGACTGACCAGATGCCCTTTGATTTATACCCTGACTTTCTCCCCAAAGTAAACCAAAAGCAGCTTACATAATTTCCCTCTTCTCTATTTTACCTCCACAACAACCCTGTGACGTAGGTTAGGCTGAGAGTATGACTGGCCCAAGGTCACCCAGCGTGCTTCCATGGCGTGAGTGGGAATTCAAACCTGGGTCTTCCAGATAGTGGTCTGACAGTCTTAACCACTACACCACACAGTTCCATCCCCCACTGCTTCCCCCTGGCAACTAGTATTTCCTGACATATTGCCCCCAATGACACAGGTCCCATTCAGTCATCTTGCCTAACAGCTGCTGATGAACCCATCCTCCATCCTCTTTTAACGCTCTCTAAGGTAGTGCCAATCAGCCCAGCCCCGTGACAGTGAATCCCACAACTCAATTGTGCATTGTTGAAGAAGTACTTCCTTTGGTCTGTCTGCAGTTTACCAGCTATCGATTTAATCAGATCCCTCTAAATTCTAGTGTTTTAAGGAAGGCCATGCTGGATTTGGGATGCAATTTCCGATTTACATAAATACTGAGCTGAAAAGAACTGTAATCAGCTGTTACTAACTGGTTCAGCAACGCTCACATCTTGCACTAGGTCCTGAGAACCACTCAGGATAGGAGGAGGAGGAGATTGGATTTATGCCCCACCCTTCACTACCCAAGGGAGTCTCAGAGCAGCTTACAAATTCCTTTCCCTTCCCCTCCCCACAACAGACACCCTGTGAGGTAGGTGGGGCTGAGAGAGCTCTGACAGATACTGCTCTTTTTCAAGGACAGCTCTTATCAGAACTACGGCTTGCCCAAGGTCATCCAGCCAGGTGCAAGTGGAGAAGTGGGGCATCAAACCCGGTTCTCCCAGATTAGAGTCCGTGCGCTTAACCACCACACCAAACTGTCCAGGGTGTATCTGCCACATTTTTTATCCTTACTCTAAAGAGATCAGGATGTTATACAGGATTCTTCTTTATTTTCCACTGTATCCTCACACGCACCCTGTGAAGTAGTAGCTAAGAGAATGTGACTAGCCATGAAGCCCATTGGGTGACTTTGGGCCAAGGGCCTAACTGTGAACTACATTTCACACACTTGACCTCCACAGGGACTTCTAGATGTGAACTCTGAGCTTCTCACTGGGAATTCAATTCTTACTTCTCTTACTGGGCCTTAAGTAAGAATTGGCTTCTGCCTTCGTCAGTGTCATTGTCCCAACCCAGAATAGACCCAGGGAGGCTACATGTGACTGGAAGCTGCAGCTGTAACTCAGCACATGTAGCTCATAAGTAGAGCCCTACTGTATCAGACCAAGTGGGCCATCTAATCCAGCATCTTGTTTCATGCTGCAACCAACTATTTGACTTGGAAGTCCAACAAATAGGAATTTGAAAAAATGACTATTTTCACACAGGAATGAAATAACATGCAGTTGGGCCCTAAAAGTAAATCAGAATCTGGGTCTCCTTATTCCAGTCTGACCACAACCCCACACTGGCTTCTTCAGCTGCTGAGTTACAACCCTCAGGTGGGGAACAAAGCCCAACGAGCCCCTACAGAGCTGTCTTTTTAATTTTTTGGCTGCTGTTATCAATCCTGTGACAAAAGGAGATCTAGTCTTAGGTGCAAATTTATTAGCTCTTGACTACCCATCCCCCTTAGCTCTCACAAACGCTTCCCACACTGTGTGAACTGGCTCCAAGTCCCCATGATGATGTGCAGCTGCCACAGAAGATGCTTAGTAAAACAGTAAATCACCGTGTATAATTAAACAATATTTGTTAGTTTTTATATGCTATGTGTAGAATTCAGTTATTAACAAGATTACAACAATATCACTACAGTATAAGATATGAAGCTTAGCAGTACACACAAAGTAATATAGTTACTAGTTACAGAAACAATTAAGACAAACGACGGAGTTCTAGTACACTGTCCGTTTGCATGTCCTTCATCAGGTTTGTCATTCTGTTATTGTTTCTTCACAAGCATGAAGTGCTGCAAGCTGCAACGGAGTGTAACATACTTAATAAACTAACCAAAAACATAAAGAATACTCTAATTAATACAGAGGAGCATTTTACACTTTATAAACTCACCCATATTTCAAAATGCTAGTTCTTATACAAATTTTGATGTACGCTACCGTACGTCAAGCACAATATGTACATCAAGCACAATATGTATTTCACAATTCTCTGATGATAACCCATACAAAAAGGGAACATGTTTTAAAAATTACCAAAGCTTCATATCTTATACTGTAGTGATATTGTTGTAATCTTGTTAATAATTGGATTTTTTAATTGCATTTTCTACAAAGCAACAAGGGAAGGTAACTACAAACTACGGGAGAAAGTAAAGCAAAACCCCTAAAAACCCAAGAGATGGTGGTCATTTACAATGCTTACAATATTAGCTCATAAGTAAAAATGTTTATACTTTGCTACATTAAGTGAGTACACATTTCTTCTTGCTTATACTAGAGTCTCCAACAACACTAACTATATAAAGAACTCTAAAGAGAAACAATTAAAGTTGGTTTAAAACAGTATCTAGAAAATAATTATA